AGGGGGGGGGAGAGCACCAGGAGGAGGAGAACGAGGACCACCAGGAGGAGGAGGAGGAGGAGGAGGAGGAGGAGGAGGAGGAGGAGAGAGCACCAGGAGGAGGAGGACGAGCAAGACGAGGAGGACGAGAACGAGGACGAGCAGGAGGAAGAGGAGGAGGAGGAGGAGGAGGAGGAGGAGGAGGAGGAGGAGGAGGAGGAGCAGGAGAAGAGGAGGAGGAGGAGGAGGAGGCAGGCTGAGGCTGAGGCTGTGACTGCGACTGCCGTTGCCGCTGCGACTGTCATCGCGAATGCGACTACGACTGCGAGAACAGCAGAATTCGACAACTGGATTTTCATCTGAATCTTAAGGGGAATGCTTCCAGATATGCTTCTACACATCGCTGTTAGGTTGCTTTGCCGGGATAATTTTATATCCGTAAGGGCTTCGCCCCCTGCCGCCGGCCCCCTCTCTATCATGATGGGATACAACAGAGTCGCGTCGGTGCGTCTCGACGCTGCCTTGGCGCATCTGGGAACAGCATGCGGGGGGCGGGGGCGGATAGGAGTCATCAGCGCATACTGAAACGTTGGCGTTATCCTAGTGGCCTTTCGCCCATCCCGCCACCGTGCCTGGGTTGTGGGTCTGAGGCCTCTTGTATATGTGTTGGGGTGTCGTGGGGAGCCTCTCGGGGGCCTCTTGGAGGCGGTTTGGGCGCCTCTTGGGGGCCTCTTGGGGCCTCGTGGGGTATCTTTTGTGCTTCTTGGAGGCATCTTGGGCGCGTCTTGGGTGCCTCTTGGGGCCTCTTGTAAGAGATCATGACCTCGTGGGCGCGAATGTGGCGCGATTTAGGAGGGATCGTGGCTGCGGGGACGCGAATGTGGTATAATTTACACGGGATCGTGGCCTCGGGGGCGCGAACGTGGCGTACTTTAGAAGGGATCGTAGCCTCGGTGGCGCGACCGTGGCGAAATTATGAAGCATCGTGGTCCTAGAGGCGAGAATGTGGCGTAATTTACGGTGGATCGTGGCCTCTGGAGTGTGAATATGGCGTATGTTACGAGGGATCGTAGCTTCGGGGACGCGAATTCAGCGTAATTTATGAGGGATCTTGGCCTCGGGGGCGCGAATACAGCTTACTTTACGAGGTATTATCGCGTCATGAGCGCGAATCTAAAGTATTTTTGCGTGTCCTACGGCCCCCAAAACATTCAGACAACGCGATTCGGGGACGCTAGCCAGGGCCCTTTTCGGCTGGCCCCCTCGTGCGATTTACAGTAAGAAGCAGAACGCACGAGTGTAACATTGGAAACTGGAAACTGGAATTGGTGCAGGGAGCAGCAAGCCGGATCCTCGCGGATTCGTTCGCAAGCCATGCGACGGCACATGCAAGAATTACAGCACGCCACGCCACGATGTGCTAATTGTTGCTCCCCCCATCAATCCTGTGGTTTGGGGTCTTCGTTTTGAGGAGAGAGCGCCCTGCGTTTCCGTGTCCCTCCCGCTGCCCCCTTCTCCCTCTTCATATCGGGGGCGGCAAAGAGGGGGGTGATGACTAGGGGGGGGTGGATATCATGGCGGGGGCCATGATATTTCCCCGGATTTCATGGCGCCTCTTCTTATTTCATTACGTCCCTGGCCCCCCCGCTGGGCCGCGCACATGCCGCCAGTCATGATTTGCACCCCCCCCTCTTGGACACCCCCCTCTTGGCCGCTCCCGATCATACCCTTGCCTCCATTCTATGCGTGTCAATTTCGGCACTCCCCTCACACAGTTCGTGGCCCCACAGGGAGCTCCACCGAAGGCCCCAGATGGAGCGTTCGCATGTGGGCGTCACGCCCGTTTCGGCACACTCCTCTCACGTTTCGTAGCCTTCGTGGCCCAACAGGGAGCTCCACCCAAGGCCCCAGAGGGAGCGTTCGCATGTAGGCGTCATGCCCTTTTCGGCACACCTCTCACACGTTTCGTGGCCCCCATAAATGGGCGTCGCGCCCGTTTCGGCACACCCCTCACACGCTTCGTGGCCGCATAAGGAGCTTCACCTAAGGCCCCACATCGAGCGTTCGCATGTGAGCGTCACGCCCTTTACGGCACACCTCTCAGACGTTTCGTGGCCCCTTATAAGGAGCTCCACCTAAGGCCCCAGGGGAAGCATTCGGATGTAGGCGTCACTCCCTTTTCGGCACACTCCTTACACGCTTCGAGGTCCCATAGGACTCAAGATGATGGCTTCATCATCGTTCAAGATGATGGCTCTCATCATCGCTTCCCTGACGGTTGATGCGCCCCGATTTACATGTTCCCGTGACAGACAGACAGGCGCGTTGTCGCCTTACCCAGTTGCCACTGGCCGTCTTTGCTCGACGGCCGCCTTCGGTGACGTTGTCGGACTCCCCGCGACCATGCCGGCAACGCCGGTGCTGGCGGTGTCGGGCTGCCAGCCACTTAGGCGGCCAACGAGGCGGCCGATAAGGCAGCCAACCAGGCAGTCAGCGAGGCGAGCAGTGAACCAGGCAGTCACCAAGGAAGCCAACAAGGCTGCCAACGAGGAAACCAACCGGTCAGCGAACGAGGCATCCAACAAGAAGACCACCAATTAGGCAGCCAAACAAAATCAAACGATCCAACCAACGAGGTGGCCAACTTGGTGGTCAACGAGCCTGCTAGGATGAGAGAGGCGCGCGACTGGTATGAGGTTTCTACGGCTTCCTAAAGATTCCCCTGGCTACCTACGTTGGTCTGGGAGCTCCAGGGAGGCCCGCAAGCCACGCCCTTGCCCATTTCGGCACCGCCCTCGCGCGGATCGCGCCCCAGGGGGGACACCCGCAGCCCCAGGCCGACCACCCGATGGAGCTCCTGCGGCCCCAGAGTGAGGGCTCTCGCGCCACCTCCCGCCCCCTGACGCGGACCGCGCCCCGGAGGGAGCTCCGCCTGCGGTCCGAGAGGGCAGGCCCGCACGCCGCCCGCCAGCAGCGGCACGCCTCGCGTGGCCCGCGCCCCGCGGGGAGCTCCTCCCTCCGAACCCGGACAGAAGGTCCGCGCGCCGCCCCCCGAGCATTGCGGCCCTCCCGCTCGCGCGGATCGCGCAGCACAGTACGCTCCATCCAGCGGTCCCCTGGGGAGGGCCCGCCCGGCGCCCCCCGGGCGCGGCTCTCCCCCCTTGGGCCGCGGGGTTGAGCCTCGTCAAAGGCAAGCGAAAGCAATCGATAGGCAAATCCAAGAGCAACTGTGTGCTTCATAGCGGCAATCTTTTTTTTTCGCGTGGAGAGACTGCAATGTAATGCTCCTCTTATGTACGAACATCAGAAGAGGATGTGCCTGTTATAAAACACATGCGCCTATGGAGTTACCTTCATATTGCTTTTAGGTTGCCTTTAGTTTGCTTGTAGCCCGTGGTAGAATGGAGGAGTACAGAACTCTCATAGGGCTCCCCCATAGGGCTCCCCCATGGGGCTTCCCCCAACGCCTAGGGCTCCCACATATGGTTCGCATAGCTACCAACACACATACACACACCCTCACTCACACCCACACCCACGCCCACACTCTCTCCTACAGCACCACGACGCGCTCACACAATTATGCACGTACGCGCTGAGTGAGAAACTAGTCCGAATGGATGACGGGTGCGACTACGACGACCACGACGACGACGACGACCACGACGACCACGACGACGACAGCGACGACAATTGTGAGGGTCAATGATCAATATGACTTTCACTCACAGGCAGGCTGTGACCAAGCCTCTCGCCGCAACTGGGGGACCGGAGGGAAGTACCCAGGATGGAGTAAGGTAGGCGGCGAGGGCAGGAAACCAAGTGCAAACAGGACAGGAAAACAGGGGAATGCTCCCGGCGACGACCACGAAATCGCACCAGCCACCCCCCCGGAGATTTGGCGTCGTGGAGACGCCGCAACGTCTTGAAAAGCAGTCACGGCTAGAGATGTCAGCTCCGTCTTTGTTTGAGGTTTCTCTGGCTGGATCTGTCCCCAGAGGGCGCCAGGGCCCGAAACGAGGCGAAGCGGCCGACTGTGACTTCTCCACGACCCCAGTAGTTTAGGCTCCCAGAGGTTTGTGGAGGTCCCAGGCGGTCTTCAGAAGTCTCTGGAGGTCCCCGAGACTTCCGGGGGACCTCGGTCCCAGAGGGGCGCCCAGAGTTCGCCACAGGTGGGGGGCGGGAAGAAGGAGGAGGTGAAGGTGGAGGTGGCTGACGCTACAGGCGGAGGACCGCCTCGGAGCTCGGCTAAGAAAAAAAGAAGAAGGTGGAGGTGGCGGAGGGAGTCGCCGTCAGGACAACGGGTCCTGAGCGTAACGGGGCCTGGGCCCCAGGGCTTCTCTTGTCCAGGCCTCCCGGACGGGCTCGGCGTAGACGGGGCCGGAGGATCGCTCGGTATCGTCGATGCATCGGCGATGCGTCTCGACGCGGAGCCCGATTTTGTCCACGCCGACGGCGCCGAGGCATCGTCCACGTCGCCGATGCATCGGCAGTGCGTCGGCGATGTATCGGCGATGTATTGGCGATGTGTGTGGCGGAGCCTCCGACCCCATCTACTCGGACCCCATCTAGGAGGCCTCTATCCTTGGGGCCGGTTCTTCATCCCGAGTCGTTCTGTTGACGGCCCTGGTGCTTGGGAGAGCGGCTCCCCGGGGTCCGCAGCGGCGGAAAGCTCCAGGACCCTTTTTTCTTTTCATGCGCAGAGAGGGGCCAAAGCAGAGAATGATAGTGTGAAGGGGGCCAGATGGAGGGGGGCCATTCATGCTCAGAGCAGAGCAGATCCCGCACAGTCACAAGGCCGGCCCTGCACAGGACACGGGAGGAAAATAGCATGCACAGGTATCTTGCAACACACAGACACACCCACAACACACGCACCACACCCCAACACAGAACAGCACAACATTTCTTTGTTCCTCTGTTCTCACTTCCCTGTGCACCAGAACCCCTTCCTTCGGGCTCAGAGGGGGATGGAGGAGACGGGCTGCGTTGTCGTGTCCATGGAGGGAGCCCGCCGGCAGGACGGCATCATCGTCTCCACGGAGAGGGGTCTTACGTTCTTGCTGGTGGCGGAGGTCACGGACGACGACGGCGGCCTCCAGAGGTGTCCAGAGTTCTCTGAAGGTGGTCTCCAGAGATGTCCAGAGATGTCCAGAGTTCTCTGCAGGTGGTCTCTCTCTCATGGACGACGACGGCGGCCTCCAGAGATGTCCAGAGATGTCCTCCAGAGGCCCCTGCAGGTCACCCGATTCAGGCCTCTGGACTCCAGAGAACCAGACAGGCGCCAAGACGACCAAAAACCTTCGATCGTCCACCTTCGATCCTCGAAGCCTCGGCGGGGGCGGCGCCGCCGACGCCGACGACGGCGACGCGGAGGTCATCCACTTCGCGGCCCACAGCCTGGTTTGCGGAGTTGTGCAGCACGTTGCGTCTGGCTGCCCCTCCAGCGACGGCGAGGTGGACGAGCCGGGAGCCTAGCCTGATAAGCCCTCTCCTCCTCCTCATGTTCCTCCTTTTTTGCCAGGACCCCAGCGTCTTTGAACATCAGGGCGGAGCAGGGTGCTTTCAGGCTCCAGGTGCCATCAACACAATCGATCTGGGACGAACAAGCAGTTCCGGGGAAGAGGTCGGGAGTTTCTGTGACCACGTGTTGGACAAATCATGACGTTGGTCGGTTCACCCCCATGCTGATGGCGTGAGACGCTGTCTCATCAACGCAGCCATTTGTCCATCCCCCGCCGCCATCCCGAGGGGGAGGAAGGAGAGGGGGATCAGACGACCAGACACAAAGCACGAAGGACAAGAGCACGACATCGCAGAGAGGTGAGGCTGGCTTCCTACAGGAAGAGGTGTCACGACCAGAGCCCTCGCGCCAATGCGAGTGACGTCACAAAAGCGGGGGCGTCTGTGCGGACATTTCTGCGTGAGCTTCCCGCGTCCGACTGAGCGTGCGTAAGCGTCCTTGTTTCAGCGTGGCGCGTCGCTCTAGCAGTCTGCGTATGCCACCGCGTAAGCCACCGCGTAAGCCACCGCAGGTCGCGATGTCCTGTTGCGGAAGACTCCTGTCCTTGGTCTTCGCCGCCCCTTGTCTCTGAGGGGAGTAGTCGCGAGCCAGGTCGGCCCCAGGAGGGACCCCGTGGCGGGTCTAGAGCGGGGCCGCGCAGCAATGGTCTTGGTCTCTCCACGACCCCTGGCTCTGATGGATCGGCTTCTTGGCCACAGCGTGCATACGGTAGCTCGTGTCGTGTCGACGTGGCGGCGAGCCCGGCGAGGGCGTTCAAGGTTGAACGCCGCCAGTGCCAGAGGCACGCCCGTGTGCTCTTACCTCCGACGCCGTGTTTTGTCGTTGCGCGGCCCCTGGATCTCGCCGAGCCCCTCACAGGAGCAGCCGTTCTCTTCATCTCTGCTGGCCGTCTTCCGACAGCCTCCAGGCCCGAAGTGGCCCCCCCGGAGGCCGACGGCGAAGACCGATGTCGATGTGGAGACAGTCTCTTGGCCTCCCAGATGGGGTCCGATGCGAGCTCTCGCGCAGTGCGTGCGCCATGACAGGCCTGCACTGGAGGGATGATGGTGATGACGATGACAACCGTGACGACCATGATGATAGTGGTGATGAGAATGATAGTGATGGTGATGATGTTGCTGGTGGTAATGAGGATGTGGATGGTGGTGGTGATGGTGGTAATGTTGATGATGGTTATGGTGGTGATGGTGTTGGTGTTGGTGTTGGTGTTGGTGATGATGATGATGATGATGATGATGATGATGATGATGATGATGATGATGATGATGATCATGATGATGATCATGATGATGATGTTGCTGATGATGATGATGCTGATGATGATGATGCTGGTGATGCTGCTGAGTATGGTGACGATGCTGCTAGTGACTATGCTGGTGATGCGGATGAGGATGACGAATATGATGGTGATGTTGCTCATGATCACGATGAGTACGTTGATGCTTGTGATGATGAAGGTGGGAATGATGACGGCAGTGCTGACGACGGTGGTCTTGAAGATGACGACGAAAGTGATGTTGATGTTGATGTTGCGGTGGATGATGATGATGATGATGATGATGATGATGTTGATGTTGATGATGAGGAGCACGATGGTTATGATCACGGTGACGACGACGATGATGATGATGACGATCAGCATCATGATGGTGACGATGTTGAGTACGATCATGATGATGATCATGATGATGATGATGATGATGATGATGCTGATGATGATGACGATGTTGCTGATGATGATGATGCTGGTGATGCTGCTGAGTATGGTGACGATGCTGCTAGTGACTATGCTGGTGATGCGGATGAGGATGACGAATATGATGGTGATGTTGCTCATGATCACGATGAGCACGTTGATGCTTGTGATGATGAAGGTGGGAATGATGACGGCAGTGATGACGACGGTGGTCTTGATGATGACGACGAAAGTGATGTTGATGTTGATGTTGCGGTGGATGATGATGATGATGATGATGATGATGATGATGATGATGATGATGATAACGAGGAGCACGATGGTTATGATCACGGTGACGACGACGATGATGATGATGATGACGATCAGCATCATGATGGTGACGATGCTGAGTACGATTATGATGATGATCATGATGATGATGACGATGATGATGATGATGATGATGATGCTGTCGATAATGATTACAATGATGATGCGGATATGGATGACGAGTATGTTGATAATGAGGTCGATGATGATGCTGATAAGGACGGCAATGATGCTGATGATGATGATTGTGAGGCTCATGATAATGTTGTTGATGATGATGGTGATACGGACAGTGTTGACGACGATGCAGATGATATTGCCGATGCTCATGCTCACGGCGACCACTATGATGATGACTACGACAATGATGGGGATGATATCGATAACTACAACGATGATGCGGATACAGAAGGCGAGTATGTTGATCATGCTTCCGATGGTTATCATTGCGCAACTGATAATGATGATTGATTTTTGCGGCTTATGATGGTAATGCGAATGTTGTTAACGATGGTGTTGATGATGCCGTGGATGATATTGACGATGATGACGATGACAATGCTGATAATGGTGATGATTCAGATCAATACTACATGATGGTGATTTCGATGATGGTGATAATGATGCTGATTATGCTGATGACGATGATGATGATAGTGTTGATGATGATGATCATCATCATGATGATGATGAGGATGATCATTGTGATGGTAGTGTCAATCATGACCTTGATGATGACGACGATGATGATGGTGATGATGACGATTTCGATTATGATGATGATGATTGTGACGATGACGATAACGACGAAGTTGATGATGACGACGATGAGGATGTTCATGACGTCGACGACGACGATGATGATGATGACGAGGATGATGATGGTGGTGATGATGATGATGATGATTATGATGATGCTGCTGCTGCTGCTGCTGATGATGATGATGATGATGATGATGATGATATCGAGGAGGAGGAGGAGGAGGATAAGAGGATAAGAGGATAAGAGGATAAGAGGAGGAGGAAGAGGAGGAGGAGGAGGAGGCGAAGGAGGAAGAGAGAGTTTGGTATATTTGTATTGTGTGAGGAGGAGGACGAGGAGGAGGAGCAGAAGGAAGGGGAGGAGGCGGGGGGGGGAGGTTCATGATGCTTTCGGGGTTTGAGGGTGTCTTGGCAAGTCCGTAGGGGTCCTACAAGGGGACCGCATGTTCCCCTGGAGCCGGCCCTGAGGCCCAGGAGGAGAAGACCCTGGCACAGCGCCTTGGCGCTCTGTGGCCTCTGGTACGGTCGGTTCTCGTCATGCCGACGGGGCGGCGACCCCGGCGCGGGCGTTCAAGTTTGAACGCCGCCAGTGGCCCAGAATCGGCCAAGATGGAACGCTCTGGCGATCAAACAGTTGGACTCGTGCGCAGAGTGGCGCGCCGGCGCGTCAAGGGCATCCTCTGCCCCCCGTCTTCCTCTCGCTCCGTACGATCGGTTCGTGTCGTGCCGACGCGGTGGCGACCCCAGCGAGGGCAAAGGTTAAACGCCGCCAGTGGACCAGAATCGGCCAAGATGGAATGATCTGGCCATCAAAAGTCTGCCGATCGTTCAAGGTTGAGCGATCCACGCGGTGCCAGCCAACGCCAGGGTCGTCACGGCACGAAACCGCCGTAGCCGCTTTGGCTCAGGCCACTCTGACTCTGCCCAGCGCCCGTGGGCAATGGACCTGTCACGCCTGGTGTCCATAGGCCTTTTCCCCGCTAAGAGGGCGCCGCTGAAGCCTGAGGAGCTGTCGTACTTGCAGTCCCACGGCGTCGAGAAGTTCCTGGCCGACCTCACGAACGAGCTGGTGCAGAAGAGGCCAGCGGATCCGTACAAGGTCATCGCCGAGGCCGCGGCGAAGCTGAGCAAGTCCGGGCCCGCGGCGCCTGCTCCGGCCGCTCCCGCGAAGGCGGAGCCCGGGGTGAAGGCCGCCGCCGCCCCGCCGCCTGCCGCGGGCGCGGACCCCGCCACAGAGGCGAGGATCAAGGAGGTCGGCGACCAGGTCCGGACCCTGAAGGAGAAGCTGAAGGCGGAGGGCCTGTCGGGCACCAAGATCAACGCGCACGAGGACGTCAAGAGGCTCGTGGAGGAGCTGCAGCGGCTCAAGGGCGGGGGCGCGGCCCCAGCGGCCGCGCCCGCCCCGACGGCGGCGGCCCCTGCCGAGAAGCCACAGAAGGAGGCCCCCAAGAAGGAGGTGAAGAAGGAGGCGAAGTCCAAGAAGGAGGCCGGCGCGGCGCAGCCCTCCAAGGGCGGGGGCGTGGATATCAAGAAGGCCGATGACGTTCCAGGCTGGTACGAGCAGGTAATCATGAAGTCCGAGCTGATCGAGCAGTACCCGGTGAAGGGCTGCTTCATCCTGCGGCCGTGGGCCTACAAGATCTGGGAGGAGGTCCAGCGCTGGTTCGACGGCGAGATCAAGAGGCTGGGCGTGGAGAACTGCTACTTCCCCATGTTTATCCCCAGGAGGTACATCGAGAAGGAGGAGTCCCACCTCGACGACTTCGCCCCGGAGCTGGCGTGGGTGGCGAAGTTCGGCAAGCCGAACGCGCTGGAGGACCTCGAGGAGCCCGTTGCCATTCGCCCCACGAGCGAGACCGCCATGTACGACGCCTACTCCAACTGGGTTCAGTCGCACCGCGACCTGCCACTCAAGCTGAACCAGTGGTGCAGCGTGGTGCGGTGGGAGGTGAAGCAGACGACCCCCTTCCTCCGAACGCGCGAGTTCCTGTGGCAGGAGGGCCACACGGCGCACGCGAACAAGAGGGACGCCGACAAGGAGGTGCTGGACATCCTCGAGCTCTATGCTGGCGTCTACGAGAAGCTGATGGCAGTGCCGGTGGTCCGTGGCACGAAGACTAAGGCCGAGACCTTCCCAGGGGCGGAGTACACCACCACCGTGGAGGCGTTCATCCCAGCCACCGGGCGCGCTATCCAGGGCGCCACTTCCCACCACCTCGGCCAGAGCTTCTCGAAGATGTTCGACATCTCCTTCCAGGACCCGTCCGACCCCAGCGGGAAAGCCCGGGAGAACGCGTACCAGAATTCCTGGGGGATCACGCAGAGAACATTGGGCGTGATGATCATGGTGCACGGTGATGACAGGGGCCTCCAGCTGGCACCGCCCATCGCTGGCATACAGGTCGTCATCATCCCCGTAGGTCTGAAGGCCAGCAGTACCGACGAAGAAAGAGAGACGCTCGGCGCCGCCACCACGGACTACCTCGAGAAGCTGCAGGCTGCTGGCATGCGCGCGAAGGTGGACGAGCGTGACAACTCGCCGGGATGGAAGTTCAATTACTGGGAGATGAAGGGCGTTCCGTTGCGCATCGAGCTCGGCCCCCTTGACCTGAAGAAAGGCGAGTTCGTTATGGCTAAGCGGAACGTGGCTGACCCCAAGGCCGGGAAAGTCACCGGCAAGCACGACTCGCTGGTAGACGACGTGAGGGCCACGCTGGAGGCCATTCACAGGGAGATGTACGAGACGGCTCTGGCCGAGCGGGATGAACGGCTGGTCAACGTCGACAAGTGGGAAGACTTCAGCACGAATTTGAACAAGGGCAGGCTGTGCCTCGTCCCCTTCTGTGGTGACCCCGAGTGCGAGGAGCAGATCAAAGAGCTGAGCAAGGCCGAGGCTGCGGACGCTGAGGTCGCCGGGGGCCTGAAGATGGGCGCCAAGAGCCTGTGCATGCCGCACGAAGAGAAGTACAACTACAACTGCCCCCAGTGTTGCATAAGACCAGACTGCACGTTCAAATGCTTCTACGGCGACACGGTGAGGCGGGTGATGTTCGGCCGGAGTTACTGAGAGCGGGGCCGCGGAAGATTGTGTGGCGCGCGGCGCGCGCAGTGTGCGTCCCCAAGGCAATGCCGTACAGCACGTGTCCAGGAGGATGTGGTGGAGCGAGCGGGTATTGGGCGCTCCAGAAGGGGCCGCATCCGCCGAGGAGTCGAGAATTTGGCATCTCGCACTCGGTGGAAGCCGCCGGATGTAGATCGAGGGAGGTTCCGCCACCACAAGTTGGTGGAAGGCTGGCGAAGGCGGGCGGGAGTAGACCCAGAGCCCCCCCGAGAGAGAGGTCGATGCTGTCGCCCTCGGCCATGTGTGGGCTGCAGTGGCCTGGTCACGTTGAAGGATCCCGTCCAGGTCCAGAAGCGCAGGCCTGATGCAGGAGGGAAGAAAATACACAGACACAATTAATCGTCGATTCCCCAGAAAATATGGGAGCAGATGGGAAGTGGGGGGGAAGTTAGAAACCTGGAAAATACAGGAAAATATATGGGAATCTGGTTATTCCTTTCTATTTATTTGTGTGTCCCAGGGCCCCTTCACTGATGCAGGATGGGGCAGCATTGTAGAAGTCCGGCACGGCGTGGGGCTAGCGCAGGGTGCGGCCCAGACCTCGGAATCTCGTGCCGTTCGGTTTGGTGTGCTGCCGGCACAGGTCGTCCCGATACGCAGAAGTGGCGCGCGTGGCCCCCCTATTCCTCCTCCTCCTCCTCCTCCTCCTCCTCTTCCTCCTCCTCTTCCTCTTCCTCCTCCTCCTCCTCCTTCTCCCCCTACTCCTCCTCCTCCCCGGCTGACCCTCCGCATCATTGCCACAGCCGTGTGGCTCCAGGACCTTCTCCTCGACAGGAAGCTCGTCGTTAACACAGAACTTGGCCGCAAGCAAATCCATATCTCCGATGGCCAAGTAGCCCTCACCAGCCGCGCCATCTTCACGAACGAGATCGACACCGTCTACGCGAGCCTCATCGAGGAACGCCGCGCCGAAGCTGTTGCTCGGTCGCGCGCCGCCTATGCGCAGGACAACGTGCTGCTCGGTGACAAGTGGTGACGGCGTTCGCGACAGGAGCGTCGCACAGGCGAGCTGTGGAAACCTGTCGCCCGCCGCTTGGTCCTCGCTGGCATCAAGATCGTCATCAGTACTCGCCACTTAGTCGTGCCGGAGCAGCGGCAGGTGCACGTGGCCATTCTCAACCATCGGGCCCCCGTCTTCGCCGCCAAAACCGTGGACGGCTCCGCCATCGCCGAGTACAGTCGGGGCCCTGAAGAAGGAACCCTTTTCGTTGGGGAGGGGCTCCGCGTTCCTTAAGTGTTTCGCAGCTTGCCTAGGGTTTCCCTTCAGTTTTCGACAGGAAATCGAAGGTTAACCCATGGAAAAAGGGGGCCTCGTTCCTTATTTAGGGTTCCTTAGGTCAACGCCCCGACTGTACTTTGACCGCGCCCCTGATGAGGAATCTCTTGAGCGGGAATCTCTTGAGCGGGCTGCTCGCCTCACTGGCGATCCGGCTCCTGGCCCAGCCGGGCTCCCATAAACTCCCGTGCGTGGCTGCGGTCGGCGCCACCAGCGTCTCTGCTTCGATCGGCCATCACGGCGTTACGTCCGATGCACCATATGACCTGAACCATGCTTTGATGGCCAGGATTCCGAGGGGCGACGAACCGCTGGGCAGCATAGAGTGCACGAGAACCCCATCGACCTTGCGCCCCCTTCCCACGAAGAGCGCTGACGTGAAGCTGCTAGCCGCTGCCCTTAACGCGACCCTCCATTGTGTTGCCGCCAAGATCGCCACCGAACAGCAGGGCTTTGTCACAGGCCGCCAGTACCTGCGGAACGTAGTTTCGGTGGATGCTGAAGCCCGTCGTTTCAGTATGCTGCCCTCCTGCCCCCAGGACATTGGTCTCTATGAATCGCCCTGCTGCGATGATGACATCCGCGTTGCGGCGAAGGTCCAGTAGTGCATTGTCTGTCCACTCCCATCGTCTCGTCGACGTTGACTGAGCTCTCTTCGATTCGACGCTGTTGTCCCCATCGAGAGTCGTGCCGCAAGGTCGTGAGCCAACGTATTAACGTGTGCCACGAGCCCTGCACATGGCGAACTTGCGCCAACGACCAGATAATTGGACGAGCACTCTAGCTCTCACCTGTCATGCTTCACCATGCCCCGCCGCAGCCAGTCCCTTTCTGGAGCCGCTCCAGACGTGAGGGTGCCCACGACGAGTATTCCATCAGCCTACTGACAGTTGTCTGCGTTTCAATGGTCGGCCAAGCCTGGCTTTGTCTTTACCCGTCCGTAGCAGTCAACGATGGTGTGGCCGTCGCGTGCAGTTTGGATAACAGGTCTTTCTTCACGCAGTTTGTCCCGTTTTGTCTCACCCGCCTCCAGTTTGACAGCTTGTTTGCGACTTCAGTGGGTGCGTTCATGCACAATGCGAGTCGATTTGCCGCGCTATCCCCCGTCTCACGCTGCGGCGCAGGAGGTAACCGTGTTCGTTTGGGGCTACGGCGGCGCAGGAGGTAACCGTGTTCCTCGGGGGAACTCGTCCTTCTGCTGCTGCTGCTGATTTCATGCCTTCTCCTCCTCCATCTGTCTCCTGGCTCTCTGCGTCTTCCCTCCTCCTCATCTTCCTAACCCCCTGTGTCTTCGGCGTCGTCGCGTCGTCGTCGCCCTCACCCTCGCCATCGCCCTTGCCCTCGTCGCCGCCCCCGCCCCTGCCACGCCGAGGCGCGCCGTCCGCGCGGAGCCGCTGGCGGAGGCGCGCCGGTGCTCGAGGCCCCTCGTCTGTTGCGCCGTGTCTCCCAAGAAGGCCCCCTTCTCGCGCCCCTCCTCTTGAGGGGGGGAGGAGGTGGGAGCCCAGACTCCTCGGGTTAGGATTCGATCACGACGGAGAGCTCTTCTCGCTGTTTTCGGCCTCCTGGGGCCCTTTTACCGGGCCTCGGGGGGCGTAAACAAAATGACGCAGGAGGAGAACCGCTCGCGGGGACGGGGAATGGGTCGAGACCTCTGGGGGTTGCCCCCGCTGTCCGTGTTCGTGCGCCGCCACCCCCGCACGTTTTCGGGAGTCTGTCGCCGCCGCCGCCGCCGCAGTCGCCGCCGTCGTCGTCTTCGTCGTCGTCATTCAGAGGAGGATAAAAGAACGAAGAGGAGGGGGAGATGAGGAGAACAAGGGGGAGGGGGAAGACGAGGGGAAGGAGAGGTAGGGTGAGGGGAATGGGGGACGAGGGGGGAAAGGAGGGTGAGGGGGATGAGCAGGTCGGTTTTCTCGGGTGATCCCCGATTGTTTCGGGTGCAGAGGGTCCAGAGCCGTTGCCTGAGGAGAGGGGGCGGCTGGACTCGTCTGCCTTCGCGGTCCAGGCCCCCATCCAGCTCCAGAGCCTCGCAGGAGTCTCGAAGTGGGGAAAGTAGTGAAGGAACATCGGCTGGATCACAGCTACTCCTGTGGTGTATTCAGGGCGATGAGGAGGGGGGAGGAGGAGAAGGAGGAGGAGGAGGTGGAGGAGGAGGAGGAGGAAGAGAGGAGGGGATTCCAAACGTTGTCTCCCATGCTCCGTTTTGTGAGTTTCTGGCAGAGAGAATCGTTGCAGTGGTTGAGCTCACAGTGGGCCTCCCGCACTGCAATGAACAATCCGATGAACGGTTGTCCCGTTTTTACATGCGCTTTGACCCATATGGGATGGTGTGAACGCCCGGATGATGTACCAGGCCACCCGTGCTCGGTTTGTTCTCACTATGTGCATGTTGTGCATGATTGTTGACACCACGACACTTCGTCTTCAGGGATGTGCGCAGGACGCGGAGGAAGAAAAGAGGGAGGAGGAGGAAGAGGAGGAAGAGGAGGAAGAGGAGGAGGAGGATGAGGAGGAGGAGGATGAGGAAGAGGAGGAGTTGGAGGGGGAGGAGGAGGAGGAGGAGGAGGAGGAGGAGGAGGAGGAGGAGGAGCAAGATGAGGTGGAGGAGGAGAAGGAGGCATGGGAGGGAGGAGAAAGAGGAAGAGGAGGAGGAGGAATCAGAGGGAGGAGGCTGAATAGAGGAGGGGGAAGAGGAGGAGGAGGAGGAGGAGGAGGAGGAGGAGAGGAGGCGGATGATGAGGAGGAGGGGCCAGTGCAAACCCAACAATCATCAACGATGTTGGAGTAAACCCTCTCTCCAAGCTCCCTCTTCATATGCCCCTGCAACGGTTCATTTCCATTGGGGGAACTGCCTCGGTGTAAGACACCCGTTTGAAGACCCGGAAGCGTGCCAAAACATTGTTCGCGGGACTCCAGCGCCACGGATCCACCTGACTATTGCGTCTTGACGTTCCTGAATCGCGCCAAAACGCCATTCTGGGGACTTCAACACAGAGAGCCAACGTGATTCCGTAAAACTCTTCAAGAACTTTGTAAACGAATGTGCGCGGCGCTGAGGCGAGAGCCACATTTTGAAAAGGAACCGCCTTTAATCCGTGAGCTCTCGCAATTGTTTACATCGATGTCCGCTGCGCTAAGGCGAGAGCCACATTTTGAAAACGACCCGCCCTCAATCCGTGAACCTCTTGCAAGTCTTCAAACCGAATGCGCGCCGCGCGAAGGCGAGAGCCACATTTTGAAAACAATCCGCTTTCATTCAATCCGTGAAACTCTTGCAAATGTTTAAAACGAATGTGCGCGGCGCTGAGGCGAGAGCCACATTTTGAAAACCACCCGCCTTCCATATGCGAATCTGTTGCCAATTCTTTAGTTTCAAAATCATGAATGGCGAGGAAGTCTCAGGCGAAACGCCCGGCCCGAACTGAAAATTTGCCTCGGGGTGCGACAGGGACAAGCTATGTATAAGAAAACTAAATGGAGGTAGGGGCCCGGAACCACAAGCTAGGAACTAGGAGCTAGGAACGAGGAGCTTGTAGTAGTGGTGGTAGTAGTAGTAGCAGTACTAGTACTAGTACTAGTACTAGTACTTGTAGTAGTAGTAGTAGTAGTAGTAGTAGTAGTAGTAGTAGTAGTAGTAGTAGTAGTAGTAGTAGTAGTGGTAGTAGTAAAACAAGAACCCTGTCTGTGGTCGCTCGGAGGGGGGGGGGTGGAACCGGACCCCCCCCGCTGGATGGAAAGGGGGTGGAGGTTCGACGCCCCCCCCTCCGGTGACGGGGGGGGTTCGAACCCCCCCTTTCCCTCCCCTACTTCTCCTTTCTCCTTCTCCTCGCGTCCTCGGGCCGGCGTCGGCGGCGGCTGGCGGCGGCGGCGGGGAGTGTCAATGAAAACGACGACTTTCTTTTCTGGGCCGGAGCCAGCGCTTGCGGCGGCGGTCGGCGGCGGCGGGGAGCGTCGACGAGGACGACGGCGACGACGACGACGAGGACGACGACGACGACGCTCCGCCACCGTGCCCAGGTTTTGGGTCAGAGTCCTGCTGGGTGCCTCTTGGGGTCTCGTCGGAGGGAGGGCCCTCGGGGGTCTCTGAAGGGCATTTGTGAAGCCTCCTGGGCGCCTCTTTTGGGCGTCTCTTGGAGCCTCTCCGAGGTGGTGGTGGTGGGCTGTGGTGGTGGTGGTGGTGGCGGTGGTGGTGGTGGTTGGTGGGGTTGGTGGTGGTTGCTATGGTTGTGGTAGCAGGATGTGGTATTGGTGTGGTGGTGGGGGTGGTGGTGGTGGTGGTGGTGGTGCTGCGGGTTGTGGTGGTGGTGATGGTAGTTGTGGTGGTGGTGGTGGTTGTTGCGGCGGTGGTGTGGTGGTTCGTCGTGGTGGTTGTGGTGGTGGTAGTGGTTGTGGTGGTGGTGGGTTGTGGTGGTGGTGGTGGTTGTGGTGGTGGTGGTTTGTTGCGGTGGTGGTTGTTGTTGTTGTTGTTGGTGGTGGTGGTGGTGGTGGCTGTGGTGGTTGTGGTGGTGATGGGGTGGTGTTTTGTGGTGGTGGTGGGTTGTGGTGGTGGTAGTGGCGGTTGTGGTGGTGGTGTGGCGGTTGTGTCGTGGTGGTGGTGGTTTGGTGGTGGTGGTGGTGATGTGGTGGTGGTTGTGGAGGTTGGTGTGGTGGTGTGGTGGTGGTGGTGGTGGCGGTGGCGGTGGTGGTTGTGGTGTGGTGGTTTGATGTGGTGGTGGTGGTGGCGGTGGTGGTGGTGGCGGTAGCTTGTTGAGGTGGTGCCGATGGCGGTGGTAGTGGCGGTTGTGGTGGTGGTGTGGTGGTTTGGTTTGTGGTGGTGGTGGTGGTGTGGTGGTG